TTTTCCATTGTGTTTTCTTGCTGTAGTTTCTCCCTATGATTACTGTTTAGTGTTTTATTTGTTTAATTATCGTTATGTTTAGCAACTGTACCTTGAAAATGTATAAATTCATTTATTTTGCTTTAGATACTGAAGATGGAATCTGATAGAATTCCGAAACGTTTATCCATGTCCCCTTTTTGTCAATAAACAATGTTGTTTATCATAAGTGTCGTAATCTTGTTTATAATCAAAATTTAAATAATTATGAATCATTTTTAAATAGAAAATGGTTATTGATCGCCGCAATTTCTTTTAGACAGACAGCCTGGTGGACGCTTTTCTCGTTAATGACGTCATTGTCTTGCGTCGTATCCAGCTTTTGTCAGTAAAAAAAGATATTACACGATTTTCTTATACATGGTTTATCGTGAAATTTGGTATTTGCCATCCTGGGTTTGCATCTCACTTTAGTTTTTAGGGTCGAAAATTGAAAAAGGTCCGTTGTTTTAAATATTTTATCTAAATTAAAACTGAAGAATGTGATTTAGGGTTTAGTTTCTGTCAGTAGTAGTACTACTACTACTAGGTATTAGTATTACTATTAATATTGGTGCTACTACTACTAGTAGTATAGTACTAAGTTTAAGAGCATATAATAGGCCTACAATTTTGAAAAGTAAAACTTTTATTGTCTTATGCAGTTTCATTGTCCCAAATACTGTTTCTAGTATTTCCGTTTAACTTAAGCCTATATCAGTATATGATATATCGGACTCGGAGACGTTATTGCTCTGTCTACAGTCTAGTGACGAAACAATGCTACTAACCATCAATGATTTAGGCTTAACTCTTAGTTATATTGTGTTGTTTTTCCTAAGGCAAGACAAAAAAAAATGATAATAACATGAAGGCTTAGAAGATCTAATATTAAAATAATATTTAAATTTTGTAAACCCACAATTACATATATTTAAAAGAAAAGTTAGGTTACATATGTTAAAGTTTGTGTGAACAAAGGAGTGTTAATCATTAATGATTAACTTGACAAGTGATGTAATTTAATATATGAATAAATAATTAAGTTAACATTTGTTCTGAAGTATTGTATATAAGCTTTTGTAATTGATATGTTCATCTTTAGTTAAATTTAGGACACTGAAAACTAATTTTAAGTAAACGAGATTTTTGGACATTAGACAGTTGAGCTTTTTATGAGGTTACAGTTTACATATAACTTCAAATCATTACTGGTAGGTCTAGACATACAGCACATTTACTTGTTAAATAACAACATTAAAAACAACAGTGAGAATGAAAAGTTTTCTTTTCTTTATACCTTCATTTTGGCTTAAGTCAAGGTTTATCAAATCACATGATATTTACCAATACACAATTTCAGTGACTCAAGTGTAGGAATATATGGGTGGTGGTGGTAAATAATAATATGTTTTAATGTTTACTTGAACATTAATTTGAAAATGCTTAACTAAATTTTTTTCCCATTTACTGAAACATCACAGGGGCTTGGCCTGGTGGTTAGTGTGCTTATACTGTGAATCTAAGGATTCATAGATATTGGCCCATTGCTATAAAAATGCAGTGCTTTTAAGAGCAGTGAGTGTGCTTTAAAAATAAGAAAAGAGTAGCCTGGTGCCATTTACTTGCTATTTCTTCCAATTTATCAATTCAAAATTATGGACAGCTCTTTGTGTTGTGAGTCTTAGTTGTTGGAATTAATTGTAACAGCTTAAATGAAAAAGACTTAATATCTAATTATTTAAATATAAAGCTGATAACTTAATTTTCCAATATGATATAAATGGAACACTTATAATACATTTGTGCTCATTTATAATTACAAATGGTTCAACTCGTAAATGATAGTGGTTATGGTATAGTCAGTATAATCATTTGTCAGGTAACTGTATGTTGAGAGAATGATTAAAATTCATCCAGGACAGTCTGATACACATAAGAATAATAAAGAACAACAGAGATGTGTGTTTACTGATGCTTTATTTATTTATATATATATCTAAATTGCTATTTAGAAAAAAAACTATTCGTAAGCTTGCCATGCACTTATTCACATAGAATGTGGTGCTTGCTCAACAAGTGAACAAATAACAAATGTAAATTTAAAGATTATTTGACATACTGTATTTTATTTTTTTTTAATGTCAGAAGTAACAGAGTTTGAAGTAGGAATGGAGCTGAACGAGAGATTGTGCAATTGAATAAAAAATAAAAGGTCGTTGTTGTTGTTTATTATTTTCCAATTATATAATGTTTTCATTAGAATAAATATATAATTTTTCCATTATGTTATAAATAAGAGTTATCTTTACAACTCCTAGTCATAGCTCCAGTACTGTAGCCATAAACAAATAATTAGGGATGGAAACAAGACTTCCATTGCATAGCAGATTGAACCATTCTGGGTTTTATTAAAATACTATCAAAATATAATCTACAGCTATATAAAGTATGCCATAACACTCATCTAACTCTCATTTTGCACTTTGGACAGTTCTTGTTCACCCCATTCTTACTTTAAAGTAAGCTACTTGTGGCGTTACAAAAATATGCAATGAATGTCAGTCGTGAAATTTACATCTCTCTTGTTTATTCAGTTGTTGAGCAAGCTCCAATACCTGTATGAATACATGAATGATAAGCTAACTAATAGTTTCCTTTTGCAAAAGCAATTCAAATTTCCAAGTAAAGGAAGCATCTGAATATATACATGTATGTTACTCTTTATTATTCTTCCATGTGTTGGGTAGGACTTAAAATTTATCAGACAGTCTTGAGTGGGACTTAAGGTATATCTTTCAATCCAGGATAGTGCTGGGTGGGATTTAAGCTGTATAGGACTGATTTTATGTAGGCTGTACATTGGTACATTTTGGTACAGCTTACATACTATACTCATGAGTGTAGTTTTACAAGAATGCAAAAAAAAATACCTAAGCCTACTAAATATTTTTTTACAATGTATTGATAAATATGTCATGATAAAATGACAGTGCCTTGTGTTAAGAAATGTAAAGTTAATGTTGAGTTTTTCAAAGAGGGGATTGTTGCCAATTGTGGATGGTATATTTTTGAGCTCTTGAGCTAGAGAAGTAATAAATGGTTATAAATGATAATGTTTTTCTTGATAAGTATAATTTTGGTATTATTAACCTTTAGAATAGTTATTTTAATATATTTTGTTAATTTAGTAAGAATTTCGCTTAGATTTTTTTATTGGAGGTGCTGCTAAGCCTAGAAATATGATATTAGGCTTAATACTTGGATTGATAGTCTTTCTGTTACTGTGATTATGTAGGGTACTAAGTTCATTAAATATTTCATTGAAATAAAGAACTACCTTAAGTGTTAGTTGAGTAAGAAGAGTAATACAGTAAAAGTTGAATTTATTGTTTCTTTTACATTGGACAACAAAAAATTTGCTACTGGAAAAATGCAAGTGATTCAGGGTAATTTGATGATGCTAATTTCAAAAGTGTAGTGAATGTTTCCATCGCCTCTAGATTTTGATTGTTGTAATATCTCAATATTTTATTAGCACTATGTAAAATACCATGCAATCAACTCAGTACAATAGATTTATGCTATAAAATTATGTTTACTTGGACAGTTTATGGGTAAGAGGCATATATTTTTGATAAATTCATACACTGGTGTAAAATTTCAAATATATTGTTCATATATGCTATTTATTCTTGATATAATTGTAGCAAATTTTGCCACTTTTGTTTCACTCCCACACACGCCTCCTCCATTTGAGAATCATGAAACTCTCACGTGCTCTCTTTGCTATAACATTTGAGAAGTCCCTCAACTGAGGATAAAGGGAAAGAGAGTCAGATGCCTCTCACTCATAAAGTTAGATCTTCTTCATCCATGTATCACATCCGTGATATAATAAAATTCTGCAAAAACTTTGTTTTTAAAACACCTTTTAAACTTTAGTTCTGTAAACATAAATTCTTTTTATTTTTTAGAAGATTACTTGAAATGCTGGCTATTTCCAGCTCAAGTAAAGTTCGAAAGTGCAGAAATCACCCAAACAGTTTCTGCTACATTTGTGGAAAATATATTACAGTTTCACGATGAAAATACATCACACACAAGGTAAAGGTAGCTTACTGCCACTATTTTGAGTGTAAAATTGGTGACCAATAAGAACATTAGGCTCCACATGTGTGTGTTGCATAGTTTGCACACCTGGCTTGATACAGTAGCTGAATAAGAAGAGAGCAAGTATGCCATCTGCAGTATGGCCAGTGAGAGAGAATTACATGCCAGGGAAACAGAATATTGAGTATCATCCTTTAGAGAATCCTTAAAATGTGTTTCTGCACACACTTCATATTAAACTGGGACTTGTGAATAATTTTCTAAAAGGAATGAACAAAGATATCTGGCTGACAAATTTCCAAAAATCAGGGAAGCAAAAATGAAGAAATCTTTTCTGGGGCCACAGATTTTGGAAGTGCTGATGGATGATGAATTTGAAACAGCACTCAGTCAGAAAAAATTTGCTGCCTAGAAATCATTCAAACTTGTTGTCAAAATTTTGTTAGGAAATTACAGAGGTGACAACTATGCTGTGATGATTGATGATATCCTCAAGAACTACAGAAAAATAGGGTCTAGGATGCCACTAAAGATGCACTTCTTACATTCCCATTTAGGCTTCTTTCCAAATGATCTAGGCGCAGTGAGTGATGAGCATGATGGGTGCTTCTACCTAGATATTCCTACAATGAAACAGCAATATTAAGGATGATGGGAGATTACTGTTGGTTCTTATAGCATGAAACCGAGAACACACACAAAAAGTGCAAAAAATCAAGCAGATATATTGTAACAAAAAAAAATAATACCATGATGAAAGTTTTGAACATAGCCTGAATATATTTTCAGTATAAAATCTTATTATACTCACTGCTTTTTTAAACAGTTATTGTTATTATATATTGCTTTTGAACATTCTTAAATGCAATTTCCAATAAATATATAGTTATTTTCATGATTTATAAGAATATTTGGAATAAATCTATCATAACCTCAAAACTGGAGGTGAACAGTAATTTTCAACATTAGTTTTAGAATCATAATTGTCAAATTACTCAGAAACAATTGAATTTTTTCTATTAGCAGAGAATTTTTTTTTTTCGCTGAGAGTTGTTATTTGGTTGCTGCAAATAAGTTTATACAGCAATATATTATTTGAATTAGTAGTAAGTTATGTGTAACGAAAGACAGGTACATTGTAGCTACATTACTTTTAATTAATAGTATTCAGTATAGTTTAATAGGGGATTTGAGTGTTACATTGAGCTACAGTTTAATCTGTAAACTGTGAAATAGCATAATCTTAGCTAAATAAACAATTATTAAGTGGTCAGATTGATAACAGAGACTGGTAAAACATCAATGTTGTTAGTGGTAGTTGAAAGATAATGGGTTTGAACTTGCATG